GATGTGCTTCTTCAACTGGTCCTGGGCCTTGGCGGTGCGCTCCTTGAGATAGGTCTCCTGGTTGGTCATCTTCTTCTGGCGCTCGACCTCCGGGAGGCTCTGGAAGCGGCGGTAGAGCTGCTGGGCGGCGGAGCGGGAGGGCCAGATGACGGGGTGGTCGTCGTCGGGGCCGTGGACGACGGCGAACGCGTAGACGCCGCACAGAGTGGTGAGTTCACTCACTTTCTTCATCAGACCGAGTCGTCGCTTCTTGAAACTCGCTTTTCTCGCATTGTCGCTCGCTATCCACACCAGCTTCACTTTCTTCCTCGTCATTTTTTTCTTTTTTCTTTTTCGATTTCTATGGGCTCTGATTTTGACGCATCCGACGCCTCTATTTATAGAGGCAAACTTCACGGGAAATTACATTTTTTTTCTCTTTATTCTCTCTTGGGAAATGAATGACTAGGGGCATTATCGTCATTTATGATATTATTATTAAGCTTTGTTTCAAGAAAACCTAATATTATATATATATTTTTTAAAATATTATTGAGGGAGAGTTTTTTTTAATGGATGGATATTCAAACATTCTATGTTTTCGACAATGATATATGTTTGATTTAATGYTCATATATTATTGATGGAATTACTACAACGACATAAATGAGATTTTTTTTTTGTCACCAAAGTSAGCTTGGGTAAATTGATTAAGACGTGTATTTTTAATTAGAAGGTTGCGTATTTGATTCCCACATCTAGGATGTTAATGTATAGTATACATATATTAAAAAATATTAAATTTTGGTTAATTTTTTTATTTTTTTGATTGGAAGTTGGAATGATCCCAACTTGTATTTGGTGTACTTAGAAAAGAAATGAAAATAATTATTTTGGTTCTTTTATTTTGTTATTTTTTTAAGTCTCATTTTCTTAATCATAATTTTAGAACAATACGGTACTAAATAAATATATTCTATGTCATTCTTTCATTTTATGTGGTTTTTTTTATAAGGACCAAAATAGATAAAAATATAGGTTAAAGTATGATTTGTTTTTTAATATTATAATTCAAATGTGGAGGGTGAGAATTAGAATCTACGAGAATGTTAGTAATATCTTATTAACTGTTAAGATATATTCAAATTCAAGATAATTTTAAAATAATAAAAATGATAGATTATGAGTGTTTGGTCGAGTAACATGAATTTCAATAATTTGAGTAGAAATTTGAATTAATAAATGGTTTAAAAGGTGTAGCTTAAGAAATGGATATCATAATTCATAAATCTAAATTTATAATTGGCATAAGTTTATAGTGCTGACCAAACACCCTTTATATTTACAACAATTATTGTAAAAATTTACCAAAGAAAAAATACRAAATACGAAATTACCATAAGCAACAACAACCTTATCATCAGAGTTTCAAATTTTCGTCGCGCCATATTGAAAAATGAAAACATATTATTTTATTATACTATTTAAAAAATTCTTTTTATATTTGACAGCCAAGTGGTACAAATTTAGAATGTTCCCGTAATTTTATATTATATAAACTCCATGGCATAATAATATATTTACGATATCAGACAACATTCAATTTAAAGCGACTTTTTAGTTCTCTTTACATAATACATCTGTTTAAGCATACTCGTTTGGACGAACGAATGAATCTCCTCGTGAATAATAAAATCTGTAAAATAGAGGGTGAGTATCTTGATGTTGGTTGAAATTTGAAGTGTATGTTTGTAGTCAAGATTCACACATACTTTAAATGGGTTTCGCCTTCGTTTTATTTTTAGGCGGTCATGGAATGAGAAAGTCATTAACCATTCGTTAATTCTTCTTTGGATCATGGGATTTGTCGGGATTACATTAGCGTTCACTACTTTCCTTCTCGATATCGTCGGCTGCTTTGAAAATGATGGAACAAACTGAGACGTGGACCGGAGATTGACACCCATCTGTAGTTGAGTTCAACTTTCCAACCTCTGTATGCTGATGGCTCCTTGGTCGATAGTGCAACACATGGTAACCGCATCTCGATTCTTGGATAAAAAATAAAAAATAAAAAGTTTAGCTAATTTTATAAATTAATGGGATAATAAATCTCATTAGATAAAATCAAATAAAATTATTTACATAAATTAAAATAAAACTAAATGTTTGGTGAATATAGATATATAAAAAAGAAAAAAAAAGAAGAATAAAAAAAGCTGTTGCTGGCTAAGAGAGGGCATTTATTGGTATTAAATGCTGGGTGTTAGAATCATATCTGGACCTATTAAACCATAGTTTGTTTCACTGCTTTAAATTAATTTGTCATAATCTCATTAGGTTAGGTAGTTTACTTTTTCTTTTTCTTTCACTTGTAAAAAAAAAAAAATGAGCAAGGCATATATATATATATATTCTAGGTTTGAATCTTCATTCTTCGGATAGAAAAAAAAAGTTGATATATAATGATTATATATATCAATTTTTTTYCTAATTTAATATCATGTGGAACGAAGAATTGAATCTCCAACTTTTTTTTCCATGTGTCAATTTTTTTTTGATACGGTATGTCTTTGATCAGTTTGAATTATATTAAGTTATTAAAATCTTAATAATGTATTTAGTGGCTGCGCCAAATATAATTCAAAAAAATTTATTTTCAAAAAAGAAAAAAAAAACATAAAAAAGATTTAGTTTTATCGATCTTAATCTTAATGGGTAAAAAATTAATATTTTCTGTTAAGTGAGATATTGCTGGTTTTGGATATTATGTTAAGGAGTTTCTCTTAGTCGGTTTTGGATATGCCGGTTATAACAATTAAGTCCYGAACTTTAGTTTATAACGATTTAGTCCCTATACTTTCAGATGGGTAACAATTTCATAACAATTTAGGCATTGTAATTTAAAGTTGGTACGATTTATTCTTTATCGTGAATTTTTTTTGGTTAAATTTCTTATGTATATATAGATAGAAAAAACTAAAGAGTGACCAAATATGTTTATAACTAGAAAGATTAAATTGTTATATGATAAAATTTGACTCTTAATTTTAATAAAATTGTTTATGATAGGSACTAAATTGTTACAAATTTTAAACTACAGAGACTAAATCGTTATAAGTTAAAGTTTAGGGACTAAATTGTTACTTTAACGAAAGTACACCAACTTTGTCAAATAATATATCAAAATAATACTTTTTTTTATTGGTAGAAACGAAAGATTAAACATAACATAGTTAATTAACTGACCTAAGTGCTTTTAGGTAAGATAGTAAYTTAATATGGTATTAAGTAAAGAGGTTTCAATATATCTCAAGTAAAAAAAAGCACACAAAAAACAAAAAGTAAAAGATTTTGAGTTCCAACATGCTCAACTTTATCATTTATTTCTCTTTTAATTTATGGAAAAAACTAGTATTTTTTTAATTAAAAAAAGCTTGTACTTATTGATTAACATTTATAATTTTATTAATTACCTTAAACCACAAGTATGGAATAATAATAAAGGTCTAATGTTAGTTTTTGTTTTCTTTTTTCTTTAAAATTTATTTTTCTCTTGAAATTGAATATGGATGGAAATAAAAAAATTTTGAAATTTTTTTGTAAATTATTTTCACAAATTTATTTCCATAAAAAAATTACTTCTAATAAAAGAAAAAAAATCTACTCAATATTCAAGTTTTATTCTTATTTTATTATTGTATATTTTTCTAGATAGTTCAACTATACTTTATTTGCTAATCAATATTTTCTAATATTTATACAGAATATTTGAAAAATATTAATTAGCAAAAATATTTGTGCTGTACCTTTCAAAAAAAATATTTGTGTTGTAATTAAAATTTTGGGTAGTTACAGTAGGCAGCAAAAATATTTTATGTATTTCACAGAATGATTATGTATTTCACAAAATGTTAGCAGTTTTTYAAAATTTTAAATATAGCAAAATATTTGAATTTTTATTATTCCAATTTTACCTTAATGATATTTGATATACATCCAATCTATATCTGATGTATATTTGTATCTAATATACATTCGATGTACATATCTGTATCTGATATACATCCAATCTATATCTGATGTACATCGTCTTATGATATTTGATATACATCCAATCTACATCTGATGTACCTCTATATATTTYCGATATATATCTAATGTACCTCTGATTTACATTTGATGTACACCTGAATCTTGTTAATACTAGGGTATTCATTAAAACAGTTTAAACTTGTAATCAAGTTAAACTCCCTCCATCCAAATCTTACAAAGTTCCCATATAGATTGAATATCAGTGCATCYCGTGAGCTCTTTTCAGATATTCGGCGAATTAGATGCACTAATATAATGGTAGTGGACATCTCCTAATATTAAATGAGAGAAAGTGTCCAAATTATCAATTTCTAAAGATTTTTATTTAGGTTGGTGCTAGCATCTTGAGAATGTTATCCATTGATTCTAATTTTGAATTTGTTGCACTTTTGCATTAAAATACTATATTTCATTATTCTTTTGTTAAGTAAAATCAACATTATATCAGTTGTAAATCAGACTATCACATCAATAGTATATCAAACAATCATATTAATAGTGTATCGAACAATCATTTCAGTAGTATATCGAACACTCATATCAGTAGTATATCAGACATTCATATAAATAGTATATCGCATRTATATCATATATACATATCAATAGTATATCATACACTCATATCAGTAGTATATCACATTTATATAAGATGGAAATAAGAGGGAAATCAAAATGTAGGTTTTTCTGGGCTTGAATTTGGACGAAGAATGTTGTCATTTAATATGTGAGCGTAAAAAAATACTATATTTGCCGTATCTCAAGTTGGCCTAAAATTTTTAATTAAAAATTCTTACTAAGTATGCATAAGAAAAAAAAACTTTCTTAATGTCATTTTTTTTCTCAACCTTGAGATCTATTTCATTTTAGTCTTTTAAGTTTTTAAAATAACATTCGTTCATTAATTTAAAGGAAGGATCGTTTTTGGTTCCTAAACTTAGGAATTCAATCCCTAATTTTTTTAAAAAAAAATTACCATTTTTGTCTTAGCCATTATTTTATGGTTAA